CCAAGAGTATCAAAAATCAAAACGCGTCGAACAGATTCCCCTCCTCCGCCTCCTCCTCATCCTCCTCCCCATTTTTCCTCCTTCCTGTCCTCTGCCCTCCGTCTCCATTTTGGCGCCTGCCAGAGGGCTGACAGCCATCTGCGTTTGCTGCATCGCCTTGCGGTTTCGCCAGTTCGGCTCACACCGGGTTGCTGGCTCATGGCACGCACGATGGCGTCAGGAAGCAGCCCGAGCATACAGCAGTTCAGCGCGCAGCACGCCGCTGTGGTCCACCACCTGCGGCTTGTCGGGCCGCCTGGAGGTGGGCTCCACAGGCGTGCGAGGTGGCCCTCCGCGTGGCCCCGCGGCGACGGCCGGGGGCTTGGCGCCTGGCGCGGCCGCGAAGCTGCACTTCGCCACGTCCTGTACTCCGTGGCCGAGGGCGGGGCCGCCGGGGGGTTGCGAGGCGCAGGCGGAATGTGGCCCGTCTTACGGCACGCCCGCCGCTGCAGGGCTTCACCGCGACCTGCCTTCTCGCCGAGGCCTTCTTGGACGCTCCAATGGGTCGCTGGGCGCTCCGTCGAGGTCCAGGGGAGGGGAAGGGGGAGGGCTACAGACACCCTCCCCACCCGCAAGGTGTCTCGCTCACCCCCGCCGCCCTCCCAACACGCAAGTAGCACCCGAGCCTCAGCTGTGGATGGGCAGCTACTGGAAACCAAAACATGCCCCACGTGTGCGACGCTCGGTCGAGGTGCGCCACGCGCGCCAGATGCGCCAGACACCACTGGGGCCCAAGCGTGCCGGGCACGCCTGGCGCGCCAAATGCGTTATGTGCGCCATGTGCGCCGATTGGTCCAGCCGCGCTAATATTGCGCCACGTTCGGGGCGCGCGCAGAGTGTGCCATGTGCGCCCCCGTGCACGTGACAGCACGCATCGGGAAACACGTCAGCCACCACCGTCTCTGCCGAAAACCAACACACAATCGCGGCGGGTGGGCCTTATGGTGTGTGGTTGGCCTGCACAGCAGGCAATATGCCAGCACACCCGCCGTCCTTGCTAGAAACCTTTGGACAGTGATCGCGGGGCGGCGGCCGCGCATGATGCATATTTAGCCGCGAAATGCACTTCGTATAATTTGTTGTTGGCAAGGATAGTGGCCGTGTGCACAGCAAGCAATTTGAGAGGCCTCCCCGCTGCCCTAGAAAACAAAACAGTACAAAGTGCTCGCGGGGCCCACGAGCATGACCCAAGATTTTGCCCTATCGTGTGTTTTGTTTCGTTTGCTTGTTTGGCAGGGATGGTGGGGGGGGGTTGTCATTGGTCCTGGTTGGCTGCCGGTCGCCTGGGGGAGGAGGTGTCTATTCATAGGGAGCAGTGATAAGTTGTTCCTCGAAGGGGCAGAAACGGAGTTGGAATATGAATCGTTTTGAACCACGTCTAGAGGGCTGGGATTATAAGCAGGCTTGCGAGTAGAGGTCAGCTGCGGGTTCGTTGGGAGCCCGTGCGCTCTCGAACCGAGTCCAGCAACGTGGCCAGCGAGGATATTGCCCTTGATGTGGTCAAGGTCGAAGAAGAAGATGGTGAATGGAGCACCCGAATTCTGGAGTAGCCCCATAGTTGACAACGCTATCCACCACCAAGACCACGATCAGCAGCAGCCAGAAGAGCCTGCTGATGTGGTGATGGATGCAGCATTTCATCGAGACCTTCTCCCCAAATCTGAATCCACAGCTCGCAAGCGGCGATCAGCATGGTGGTCCTCATCCTCGGGTTTGGGTGGCAGCTGAATGTCACCCATCCATTTTTTTGCCAGCACCCTGGGGGCCGACGTCCACCTCTCGTGCTCAAGGTCGATACCATCTCTCCCGGCACTCTTTACGACGGGCCTTGACTTTGCAAATCGTTGGCCAGCTGGCGTCTCCTAGCGCTCGAAATGCTGGACGCAATAGCGTGCATGTGGGTTCTTTCCGGAGAATGGTTGCTCAGGCCACGACGCAATTGGGCCCAGAGCATTGCACACGTAATATATGGCGATGGTCGTTGGATCACCGCGGGCTCTGGATCACCTGTGGTTTGAGGGGAGTCTCGAGGAAGAGGCGAATAAACAACGCGGATTGAATCCCATTCGGGTCAGCAATTCAGAGTTTGAGGGATTGTCGCATTCCCCGTCAGTGGAGATAAGAGCCCTTGGGGGGACCGAAACGGTTCGGTTGGATTATTTCGAATCAGCAGATTTGAAATCCCATTTTTGTAGGGTTGCGGCGGGTTGAAGGAGGTGTGAGTACCAGAGAGGATGGTTTGGTTCAGCATCCAGGGCGTCCTGGCTCAATTCCGGATTGAAGTCCTCCTCTTTCTTGCCTTCCCACAAGGGCATACCCAAATCTTGTGGAAAGGGTGTCAGGAGCATGGCAGAAATAGCATGGCGGCGACACATCGTAACCCCGCTTGTGGAGGCCTTCACAAAACGAAAGGTTGCCAGCAAGGATTTGATTAGATATGTGTTTTGGTCCGTCTGGAAGCACTTCTTGTCGCACAGCTGTTTTACCTGCTTGAAGCCAGTAGCAATCTTCTTGTACTTGTCTAGCTACGGGGTGAGATTGGGGCGCTGGCCTTCTGCGGAATAACGCGTTGACCTTCTTGGCCGAAAGCTCTTACATAACCATCTTGCTGACCTGTAGCTAGCAGGGTATCAGTCCAAACTGTTTTCCCACCGCAGCAGAAACTACCAGCCGCTGCGTATTATGGCCTATCCACTTCGAGGGTCCACAGAACCGCATCACTTAAAGGAACCCTGCTTCTATAATCCCTCGGCTCCGCTTACAACGAATGGTATCTTGGTGTTGGAAGCCTGCTTCTGACAGCGTCTGGGTGGTGTGCCACCACTCGGGCGCATATCGTTCAATCGTCGCTGCAGCCAGATGGATCGGATCCTGCGACCTGGCCGAAACGGCCCACGAACGGTCGAGGGGATCACCCGGAAGTTTGACCCCCATAGCTACAACTGCACATTTCCTCAGAGTTAGAATTTCACTGGGGATTTCACGTACCACTCCTCTTCTTGGGGGCGTGTCAGGAGTAAAGAATGGGCGGCATGTTGCTTGTCCCGAGCGGCGGTTTCCATACCTCCCGACATTCCCCGTCCCAAGCTCAGCCTAGCTTCCCCACCCATCCCCCGCACTTGCCCCCGCCGCACTTCTCCCCGCATTTCTCCCGCACTTCCCCGCACTTCTCCCGCAAGTGTTCAGTCCTCCCCCTCGCACCTCTCCCCTATTTTCTTCCCCCTCCCGTCGCAGGGGATGGTGACGAGGGAAAGGAGGGATAATACAGGGAGCGGTAGGGGGAGGAGGAGCATGATTGGAATGATTTACACGAGGCGGGCGAGTTGGATGAGGAAGAGGAGGATGAGCATGAGGATGATGAGGAGAAGCAGGATGACGCCAACGACGACGAGCATGTCCATGGGGAGCGGGACCATACATGCCCACCTTTCTGACTTTTCCCCCTAAGGAGCCAGCCCGCCGAAATGTGGTCCGATGAGTTGGGGTCGGAGGATCCATCGCGCTGCATCGCCGATGTACCGGCGATGCAGCTCGATCCAGAGCCCGATTTATCCCTCCCGACGCCACCGGTGCATCGCCGACGCATCGGCGATACGGCGCTATCCGCCTACAGTCGGGGCCCTGAAGAAGGAACCCTTTTCGTTGGGGAGGGGCTCCGCGTTCCTTAAGTGTTTCGCAGCTTGCCTCAGGTTTTCCTCATGTTTTCGATCGGAAATCAAAGCTTAACTCCTGGACAAAAAGGGGCCTCGTTCCTTATTTTGGGTTTCTTAGGTCAAGCCCCCGACTGTACCCCATCTGCTCGGACCCCACTCGGACGGGCTCCAGAGGAGCCCTGTGGTGACATTCCACTGGGCAGCGCGCTGCGGCCACGACGAGCAGCCTCGGCGCGCGCGGGGAGAGAAAAAGGGCGCGGCGCGCGCCCCCGTGCCCGGCCTGTGCGGAGGCCAGTGGCGGGCACGGCCCCCTGCCACGGCACGGGGGACGAGGGGAGGTCTGCCCTCCCTCTCGCGCCTCCGCGCGTCCTCCTCGGCTGGGCCTCGACGGAGGGGCGGCACGGGCCAGGGAGGCTGTCAGGGCCGGTCCCTTGGCCCTCAGAGACCTCCCATCTGGGCCCAGTTTCCTCGCAGCCCGCAGTGGCTACGGCAGGATCGGCGGGCTGCTTCCCGTGCCACCCTTCGGGCTTTATCTCTCTCTCTCTGCCTTTGGCACCTGGAGGCCATGTCATCTGGCGGCCAGTTTCCAGCCTCTGGGCCGTCAAGAGACTTGGCATCGTCCGCTCGTGTGCATTTTTCCTCGGCGATGACCTTTGAGCAGTATCCTCGACCATCGGGCCCCAGAAAACACACACGAAACCGACAACACGCACTGGGAGTGGACACCCGAGCGACGGCGAGGAAAGGACTCAGGGTGGCAAGCCGGCCTTGAGGATGAATTTTAGTAATCTGGACGGTCCACGATTCAAAAAGGAACTCCACCAACTTGGTGGAGTTCGTTTTTGGAACACTTGGTGGCACCAAGTGTTTCGGCCAGCCGTGTGCTCAACTGTGATGCCCAGGAGGAAGAGGGAGGAGGACTAGGAGAAGGGGACAAATGAGGCCGGGGAGCCAAATGAGGAGGATGATGAACCGACAGGGATAATGAGGTGGGGTATGTGGTTAACATGGACAAGGATGCGAAAACGAATAGACAGATGCGAACAAAAGGAGGGTAATGAGTGGGAAGAGGATGACGAGGATGTGTGAGTATAATAATGACGGTTCGTATGCGATGGAGACGATGACGACGATGTTGATTGTTGATATCCAGATCGCGAGGATGAGTATGCACATGACGACGAGGAGAATGTGGTGATTATCTGACGCATGAGGACCAACAGGATCAAGACGACGAGAGTCAGATCCACAAGAAGGAGCAGGAGGATGAGCAGCAGCAGAAGGAGCATAAGAAGAGGGCCTGCCCAGGCGCCCGCAAAGGCAGCATCGCCACAGATGCCGGCGACCCCGGCGTCGAGGTGGCGGTCGCTCCGGTGGCCAGCGCCGCTCGTCGTCGTCTTCGTCGAGGGGGGGGGGCCCAAACGGCGCGGTGATGGTACCGTGTTGTGAGTTAGCGGGGGTTCGGGGTCGCCGCGCGATTTTGGGATTCGGGTCGTTCTCCCAGGTTGCCCAGGGCAGCGGGATCTCCGAGGTCCCACGGCCGTGCGGTGACGGACCGTGCGATGAGGTCGATGGGGATTTCGAGGTCACCGCACGGTCTGTCACCCACACGGTCTTTCGGCGGCGCGTCTGGGGGGGAAGTGAGAGGGGGTAGGTTTTCAGAAGGCGGCGGGGCTTCTCAAAAGCCCTCCGGCCGTCTGAGAAGCCGTCTGTGTCGTCGGGTCGGAGAAGGCTTAGAGCACTTCTCAGAGGGCCCGTGACCTTCCGAGCCTTCCGAGAAGGCCCGCCCTCTCTGACCCCCCCCCCTGGGCTCGCCGCCGAGTCTTGGGGCCCCCAGAGGGAAGGATGAGAAAGGTTGGCCCCCCCAGTTTTTGGTATAGAGGGAGAGGAAGGTCGGGATGGACGAAAAAAGAGGCGGGCAGAGGGAAAATGCGGGTCACGGAATCTGCTGCAAGGGCATTTGGTCTCGGAGCCACAGGCGAATCCTGCCCCTACCCCCCACGATTTCTTAGGCGAGGGTGGGGTTCACTTCGCTCCCGAGCGAAGTGAACCCCGCCTTTCCTCTCAGAAATCGTGGGGGGTAGGGGTAGGGTTCGCATGTGGTCCCCTATCGGCCCGGCAGGCTTGCTGGCGCTTTCCTCGATACAGTGGCTCCTGCGGCGCCAAGAGGCGCCGGAGAGAGAGCAGCCACATGAGCTGATTCGGTTCCTCCTATCAATTATAGACGCTTCGCGTAACCCACCAACTCGCCGACACGATGTTTTGGCATTTGTGCCGCCTACGGCACGGATGTCGTCCGGGTGTGCCTGTCGGTCTAGTTCGTCTCTGACGGTGCTGTTTGTTTGACTCACACCGAGCGATCGACCTCTGCGTGTTTATGGTCGCGCCGCCGCGCCTTTTTTGCTGCGTTTACCTGCTGGCCGCAACCGGGATTTCCAACGCCACAGGGTTTGGGAGTATCAGTTCTGGCTCTCCTTCTGAGTGGCTGCCCGCTCGCTCGCTTCGCTTGCCTTTCTTTTCCTGCTGCCTAGTCGCGGCCCGACTAGTGTTCGGACGGCTTTCGGCTCGCCTCGCGAGCCTGTTGACCAAAAGTAACCCACCAACCCGTCCAGACACGATGCCCAGACGAGTTGCCCTGATCAGTGATGTAGCGGAGCATGCAGTGAAATAGGGCTGGGTACTACGTCTATCTCAAGAGGGAGTATGGAGGGGGAATCGGAGGAGGAGGAGGAGGAGGAGGAGGAGGAGTACGGAGAGGGGGCGGGGGTGGAGGGAGGAGGAAGGAGGAGGAATAGGCGGATGATGAAGGAGGAGGAGGAGGAGGAGGAGGAGGAGGAGGGCGACCAGAATTGCCAGAAGCCTCTTGGATGCCTCTCCAGGAGTCTCTTGGAGTCTTCTTGGGGTGTCTTGGGGGCCTTCGGGGCGTCTTGGGTGCCTCGGGGGAGCCTTTTGGAGCCTCTTGGATGTCTCTTGGGAAAATATAGGGGGCATCTTGGAGGCCTTTGGGGGGCCTTTTGGGGCCTCCTGGGCACCTTTCGGGGCCGTCTTGGGGCACCCCTGGGAGCCTCGGGGGCCATTTTGGGGCCATGTTGTAGGAGATCGATCGAAGGAGGGGCTGTAGCGCATTGCCCGCCCCAGGAGGCCAAAGTGTGGCCCAAACTTGGATCTCCTCGCCGAGATTTCTTGGGGTGCTTGGCTGTCTCTGGAGGGCCTCTGGAGGGTCTCTTGGGAGCATCCTGGGGGCATCTTGGGAGCCTCTTAGGGCCCTTTTGGGGCCTCCTGGGCACATCTAGGGGCCAATTTGGAGGAGAACGATCAACGGAGGGGGGCTCCTTAATCAGGTCCCCCCCAGGAGGCCGGACTGTGGCCAAAACCTGAGTACAATCATTGATTTTGCCTTTCTCGCCGAGGTATCTCTGGGGGAGCATCTTGGGGCCTCTTGGGGGTCTCTGGGAAGCCTCTTGGGAGCATGTTGGAGGCCTCTTGTGTGCCTCTTGGCGCCTCCTGGGCGCATCTTGGGCCCTCTATGGGCACCCTTGGAAGTCTCGAGGGCCATCTTGGGGTCATCTTCTAGGGGATCGATCAAAGGACGGACCGCCCTCAATTGGCGGCGCCCCCCAGGAGGCCAAACTGTGACCAACAATTTAGTACATTGAATGAGACTGGTCCTTCCGCCGAGGCCATTTTTGGATGCTTTGACGACCCGTGGCGCCCCCCGTCCAGGACCAGGGCGCGGGGGGAGGGGCCTCCCCGAAGGGGAATAAGGGGGGGCGGAAGAGGAAACGCTCTAAACCACTCACGCCCCAGAGGGCTGGTGGGATTCGCCCCCCCCCCCCCTTCTCGAAAAACAAGCGGCATGATCATAATTCTAGGCGCTTCGCATAACCCCACCTGCCCATCCAGAAACGATGCCCAGACGGGTTGCCCTGATCAGGGATGCGAAGGAGCACGTAGTGTAATCAGGGTGTGGGGGAACCGTCATACCCCAAGAGGGAGAGGATGGAGGAGGAAACGCAGGAGAAAGGTCAGGGGGAGAGGACGGAGGAGGGACGAGGAGGAATAGGCGGATGAGGAAGGGGAGGATGACGAGGAGGAGGAAGGCGAGCAGAATGGCCAGAGGCCTCTTGGATGCTTGTCAGAGTCTCTTCGGATGTCCCTTGAAAGCTTCTGCGAGTCCTCTTGGAGCGTCTTGGGGGCCTCTTGGCGGTCCTGGTGCCATTGGCGAGCCTCTTGGAGCCTCTTGGGGGTCTCTGGGGAACCTTTGGGGGACCTCTTGGGGTCCTCTTAGGCGTCTCTTGCGGCACTCTTGGGAGCGTTTGGGACCATCTTGGAGGAGTTCGATCAAAGAAGGGGGGTCCTAGATTAGGGCACCCCCCATGAGGCCGAAATGGGGCCAAAACCTGAGTAACATCAGCCTGGCGAAGGGTCCAACCATATGAACTTATGAGTGCCGCAGTTGTGAGGATCGTCTTCGGTGGAACTCCCTCTGAGGCTAAAAAACGTGTGAGGGGCGTGCCGGTTTGGGGAAGGGGGGGCGCATGTGAACCTTCCCATTTGAACTTTCGGTAGAGCTCCCTATAGGGCCCCGAAACGTGTGAGGGATGTGCCGAACCGGGCGTGACGCCCACATGCGAACTGCAGCACCAGGATCGTCGGTGGAGCTCCCTACGGGGCCACGAAACGTGTGAGGCGTGTACCGAAACGGCCGTGTCGCCCACATGCGAATTGCGCCACTGGGACCTTCGGTGGAGCTCCCCATGAGGCCACGAAACGTGTGAGGCGTGTGCCGAAACGGGCGTGTCGCCCACATGCGAACTGCGCCACTGAGATCTTCGGTGGAGCTCCCCATGAGGCCACGAAACGTGAGAGGCGTGTGCCGAAACGGGCGTGACGCCCGCATGCGAACTGCGCCACTGGGGCCTTCGGTGGAGCTCTCCATATGGGGCCGCGAAACGTGTGAGGGGTGTGCCGAAACAGGGACGACGCAGGGATGGGAGGAGGGGAGAGGAGCGAGGAGGAGGAAGTGATGGGCCTGTTTTCCACCACCACCACCACCATAAGTTGGAGGGGGGAAGGGGGTGAAGGACGAGGAGGAGGAGGAGGACGAAGAGGAGGAGGAGCAGGAGGATGACCCCCTCCCCCTCCTACTTATGGTGGTGGTGGTGGAAAACAGGCCCACCAGGAAGGAGTGAGGAACGCGGGGCGCTGTCTCTTCATTCCGGGGGCCCGACACCGCAGGATGGTTGGAAATCCATGCCTTGTGCCTCGTCGCCGAGGCCAGCTTTGACCTTCCGATGGGTCGCGGAAGCCCCCGCCCAGGTCCAGGGGGAGGGGAGAGGGGGAGGGGTAAACTTGAGTCGGGCCTGTCCCTCTACGGGGGGAATATTCAAAAATGGTTAAAAAACAAAATAGTCTGCGGACTATGTTTTGACCATTTGAGCATTTTAAGTTTTTCAATTTTTCGTCCAAAATCGGCCTGCAGGGGGACAGGCCCGACTTAAGGGTAAACCCTTCCCCGAAGGGGACGAAGGGGGTTGGAAGAATAAACCCTCCAAACCACTCACGCCCTAAAGGGCTGGTGGGATTTCTCGGAAGTCCGCGCTCCTTTCTAGGATCTGCGCTGGGACCCCCTGGCAACGCCTCCGGCGCCGCCCCCGGCGCGCTCCTCGCGCCAGGGAGAAGGGCCCAGCGCCGATGCAAGAAATCTGGTGGGAGCTCCGAAAGTTGATCTTCACACCATCATTTCGTTCCTCGACGTCTTCCGACCGGAGAGCGGGTGCAGCGAAGCGACCTCAAATCCAGGCGGACCCGGTCCAGTTTGAAGCCGTGGGGCTCCATATGGCGGACTCGGTCGCTTCGGAGATCGGAGGAGGCCCAGGATGCACCCAGCCATGCTGCGCCGCAGCACGCCGCGTCTTCGTCTCATGTCGGGGCCCAGAGCGCGCCCTCGAAAGGCCAGTTCTCCGTGTGCCTGCCCTTCGCTCAGGAGCCCAGTTTTGGAAAGGGCCGCCCTCTGCCTCAGCCGTCACGGGTGCTCAGACACACTTAGGGTTAAGTCGGGCCTGTGCTTCTACAAGGGGAATCTCCAGAAATAGTTAAACAAATAATATGGGGACGATTTTTAAACCATTCTTGAGTATTTTGGAGTATGTGTGAGCTGTTATTTTTCTTCCAAGATCCCCCTGTAGGGGGACACGCCCGACCTAAACTGAGGGTCAGTTTGGTTCAGGGAAGCATCCAAAGAGAGCCCCGCTATGAGAAGGAGCCGCCCTCCATAGGGATCAAGCGCCAGTGGAGGGCCCGCCACAAGACAAGCCAGGCAGGCTAACAAAGCTCCCCCCGACCCCCTGAAGGGTGCGCATGTGTACATTTACCCCATGGGGGCAGGACAGAGGTGGAGTGGGAGCGGGTGCAAGGGGGGGAGGCGTGGAGGTGGAGTGGCAGGGGGAGGATGCGAAGGACGAGGAGGATGGCGACGAGGGAGAAGGAGGAGGAGGAGGAGGAGGAGGAGGAGGAGGAGGAGGAGGAGTGAGGACCAACGACGGACGGCAAATGGAGGAGGAAGGGGGGAAGGGGGACGGAGGGACGGCCAGGCAGAGCGCGAGCTTCCTGCTGCTCCCCCCCCCATTGTGACCCGAGGCGGCATGCCGCGGATGACGCGCCCGGCGTCCCGGCCCCGCAGCGGCGCCGGGGGGCGGACGAGCCGGACGCGGCCGCTGCTCGGAAGGCCGCCGAGGGTCGTCAGCGTCGTCGTCGACGACCTCCTCCTCCTCCTCCTCCTCCTCCTCCTCCTCCTCATGCTCCTCCTCATGCTCCATCTCCATCTCCCCCTCCTCCTCCTTCTCCATCTCCATCTCCATCCACTCCTCCTCTTCCTCCTCCTCTTCCTCCTCCTCCTCATGCCTCGTTCTCTCATGATTTTCTCCTTTGTTCGGCCTGCCCGTTCCTCGTTCCCTCTCCTGATTCCTCCCGTGTTCCTCCTCTTCGTCGTCCTCGTCGTCCTCCTCTTCCATTTCCTCCTCCTCCTCCATTTCCTCATCCTCCTCATCCTCATCCTACTGCTCCTCCCCTTTTCATTCCTCATCCTATTCCTCCTTCTTCTCCTCCAGCTCATCCTTCTCTTCCCCCTTTTGGCTGCGCCCAGGGCGTTCGCTCGTGGCTGCTGAGCGCTGGATCCCGATCGTTACCTTCCTTCTCCTTTGCTCCTCCTCCTCATCCCTGGGTTTGGACTTTGAACTGCTTCCCCCCCCCCTAACTGCTATCCTCGGTTGGGAGCTTTCGTGGACTGCCCGACCGAACCCGGCCCTCCTCCCCCTCCTCCTGCAATTTACGTCGCTCCTGCCACAATTCCTGCCCCGCCGCTGGGGGGGCTTGGAAGGGTCCAGGGGGGCGGCCGTGCATTGGGGAGCCTGCGGGTGCACGAAGTCAGCCTCGCCGCCCCTCTGTCCCACTCTTTTAGCACGCTGCGCTCTCCAAAGTACCCCTTCTCCTCCGCCTCATCCTCCTCCTCCTCCTCATCCTCCTCCTCGAGGCAAACTTAGACCAGCTAGGATCATAGCATCATAATCCTCTTCCTCCTCTTCCTTCTCCTCCTCCTCCTCCTCCTCCTCCTCCTCCGTCTAGTTACTCGAACGGTCTGTCACCTCTTTCTCTTCCTTCAGGGGCCCCTTTGGGCCCCCTTCGGTGGCCGCGCCCGCGCGCAGCTCGAAGAAGCTGGGCGGCATGGCGTACAGCAGACGGACGGGCCGACATGCCGGCGCCTGCGCCAACGCGGCGGCGACGGCCGCGCACGACGACGGCGACCCCGACCGACGGCGCCAGACGCGCTGTCTCTCCCGGCGGCGATGCGGCGATGCGGCGGCGGCAGCTGCGACGTGCGGCGGCCGCGCCGACGCCGGCGCCGTCGACGGCGACGGCGCGGCGGCGGCGGCGACGGCCGCGCACGACGGCGACCCCGACCGACCCGCACCGGCGGCGCTGGCTCTCGCGGCGGCGGCAGCTGCGGCGTGCGGCGGTGCGCGGCGCAGGCGGCCTCCTGCGCCGCGCCCGCGCCGCCGGCGCCGCTGGTCGCTGGGCCGGCGGAGGAGGCGGCGCCGCCCCTCTGCGGCGCGCGTCGTCGTCGCCGTCGTCCTGCGCGCCGCAGAGGCGGAGGCGGAAGCTGCGGCTCGCGAAGGCGAGGGCGTGTGACAGTGGCGCCGCCGGCCTTTTGGGGGGCAGAGTGCACCGAGGAAGCTCTGGCAGGGGGATGGCGTGCGCAGAAAGGGGCCCCTCGCGAGGGGATCGCCTCGCCGAGATAACCTGCCTATCGGAGATCGATGGTGCACGCTATCTTCCCAACGCTGACCGCATGGGTACGATGCGCAACCGCAGCGATTGTCCATCTGGGGCAAGAGTTGGTGTTATTCGGGGCCCATCGTGCAGCGAATATCTTGTCATGTGGGCAGGAGTTATTGTGCACTGAAGCCGCCGTCGGTCGTCGGTCGTCGCCGCAGTCGACGTTTTTGGTTCGGATGTTTTCGTGTCGTCTCTGGAGGTTGCTGTCGCCACGGCTGGACGCAGCTCGAAAAATTAGTTATTAATCTTGGGAGGGGTCTGGAGACCCGTTTTGAGCAGATCATACCGTCGTCCCGTGGAGCCTGAAGTTTTGCGAAGCCTTCAGAAACCATATGGGGTAAAGAAACTATGTATGTGAGGTCCAAGGCTCTTGGAGGTGATCGGAAGTTGCCTCACAGTAGTTTCGGAGGGCATGGGGAAGTTCAAAAGGCTAGCGGTTGCCGCAGGTGTCGCATGCTTGTCAAGATTGTCGGCTGCCTTCACAGGTCGAGAGAGGTTTCCTGGGGGGTGGGAGGGTGAAGGAAGGGCTGGAGGGGGAATGGGAGGAGGGGGCAGGTGAGGGGGAGGTGAGGGGGATAGGAAGGGAGGGCGAGCAGGAAAGACTGGATACGTGGGAACGGGGGTAATAATCAGGACATGTATCTGTCTATCTATCTATATATATATATATACATTTTATACACATGAAAGAAGAAAGGTAAGAAGAACAGAAAGAGAAAAAGAGAGAGAGGTCGAGAGAGAGAGCGCGCACGCACGAATCGGACACGCGTGTCTGGGCGCTGGCAGTGCACGCCAGCCGCACGCCCAGCCCATCCGGCCGAATGGGAGACACCGGGAGGTGTGTGCCCCCCGGGGATGCGCGGGCGTTGCTCCTCGCGGCGCGCCAGGCTCCAGCATACGCGATGAGAACACGTAGCGACGCGGCGTCAAGGCGTACAGAGAGAGAGGGGGGGAGAAGAGACGAAGGGGAAGAGACGAAGAGATAGAGCGAGGCAGAGAGATCAGGAACTTAAAGGAAGAGAGAGAGAGAGAGCGAGCGAGGGAGAGAGAGAGAGAGAGAGAGAAAGACTGAGAGAAACAGAAACAAAAAAACAGAGCGAGAGAGAGAGGGAGGGAGGAGGGCAGGACAGAGCGAGCGGATGAGCCTGAACAGGATGCGCCGGACCCTTCAGGCCAGCGCCCTCAGACCTCCTGACGTCCCGGGAGCCTGGGAGAGGGGCCCGAGAGACCGAGCGTGCGGCCGCATCGCTCTGTTGAGTTGTCGGGTGTTGTTACGCGCGCGCGCGAAAACACGCACACTTGATTCAGCAGGGAAAAAACACACAGACACAATTCATCGTCGATTCCCCAGAAAATATAGGAAACTATGGGAAGTGGGGGGGAAGACAAAAACCCGGAAACTATGGGAAAGTATAGGGGCATATTTTTATTTGTGTGTATTTATTTGTGTGTCTTGGGGCCCCCTCATTGATGGCGGAAGCGGCCTCGCGCGCGGCGACAAGGCGGAGTCGGCAAGAGTGCTAAGCGGGGGGGTCGAGGCTGAGGCCTCGTGAAGCGCTTTAGATCCTGCAGCGCCTATCGCCACATAGCACACCTGGGCGGGGATGGCAGTGAGGTGATACGCCAGCCGAGGGCCCTGCCCGCCGTAACTGAGCATGAGAAGAAGGAGGTGCGCCATTCAGTACATCCGGGCGAGGAGCAGACACGCACACGCAGATGTTGAGCATCGCGGGCCAGGCGCACCACAGGCCGTCCAAAGGTTACCGCCAGCGCGCGCGCCGGCAGGGAAAGGAAGCGGGACCGCCGGACCCTCACGGGGCAGAGGCGGGGCAAGGCAGGCGGCGGGGCCGCGGCGCCGGCAAGCCGGCGGTGGGGCGGCGGATGCGAGGGCGCCGCCAAACGGGCGGCGGCGGGGCAGGGCAGCGGGGAGCGGCGGCGGGGCAGCGACCGCCAAACGGTTCCTGTACCGGCAGCGGCGACGAGGATGACGAGGAGGAGACAGCGGATTTTATTGACGGGGTTTTCTTTCTGTAGAGAAGGGAGTTGTGGGTGCGAAGAAGCCTTGGTGCGACCCTGCTGAGCAAGAGGTGCGAAGAAGCCTCTGCCCCAACACGAGACAATGCCGGACCTGGCTATACGATGGAGTCAGCAAGTTTGATCATGTATCCAGACTGTCGCTTGGCCTAGCTCTTCAGGCGTTAGTTCCATCGCCACGCTGGCCCAAGCCCGTTTCAGAGCACGTGGTGAGCCCAGACCTCCGAAGCCGTGTTTTCCGCACGCGCCCCCTCCAGGGGCTGCTTTTTCGGCTTGGGGCGCTGCTGATTTCCCGAGGGCTCGAAGCGGGCCTCCAGATGCTCAGAGCGTGAATTACCTCCCCCGCGTTCGCTTCCAGGCAAAACCAAGTCATACCACGCGCCTCCTCGTCAAGCGGCCTGACCAGTACAGGCCGTAGTTTGGCATCGCTTGGTATCTCTTGGAAGCGAGGGTGGTCAAAAGCGAGGTAGGTTTGTTTGCCTCCTAGAAGCGGGCCTCCAGATGCCCCAAGCTGAGGAAGCCATATCCGTTGTGATTCCTCTGGGGCGGGCCTTCCCGGATGCCCAGAAATCAAGACACGCATGCCCGCCATGTTTTTGTCACGCTGCTTCGGGGGCTCTGCGTTCAGGCAGGCCTGAGCCGCCCGCCGAGCCCCTCCCGCGCGCTGGCCTCCTGACGCGCAAGGCGTGGCCCGGGCAGGATGTCGGCCGGTGCGGCGCGCGCAAGCGGCGTGCGCCTGACCCCGTCCGCGTCTCGCGTGTTCGGCTCGTTCCACTGCTCCAACGTCACGGAGCTCCGCAGAAGGCATCTGTACACCTCCATCGTGGCTGGTACAGTCGAAGAAAAACTACAAAAACCTAATTTCTCGGAGGTCCGCGCGGATATCTTGGATCGGCGTTGGACCCCCTGGCGGCGCCTCCAGCGCGGCCCATGGCGCGCACGCCGATCCAAGAGATCCGTGCGGACCTTCGAAAAGTAATGTTCATGTCATCTTGTTTTCCCATCTGTAGAATCTATAGACCTTGCTGGCCTTGGCCAGGAGGACGTGTACACCATGCTGGGGCCCGTTGTGGCCTTGAGCAGGCACGGCGTGGTGTATGGATGCCTTCTGCGCAGGAGCTGCTCCGCACACCTCGCTCCAGGTACCAGGAACGGGTGGTTAAGTTGAATATATCGGGGAGGCGGGGCGGCCTTATCTGTCTTGTGAGCGGCGGTCTTGTTATGTGCCCGACTTTGGTTCGACGTGGTTTTGGCGTAGATTCGATGTGGATATCCGCGCGACGTGTCAGACAAAGTCCGCCGAATATTCAGCACAGTTCAGGGATGCAGCGTCAGGCAGCCGCAGTATCCAGATAGTGAAGCCGCTTCACCGTGTTCAAGAGCGTTCTGGGGTGTTCTAGAATGGCCGCGGCGCCAGATGCGTCCTTTGGGCCTGCTTAGCCTCAGAGGTCCCCGAGCTATCCGTGCACGAGTCCGCCTGTACTCCCCCTTCTTTTGAAACTTACACGATGTACTCAGCCTTTGTTCAACGCGTGGCCAGAATAGTTGGGTATGTATCTTTAAGGGGTGATGTCGTGGCATTGGGGATAATTTCTGCGAACGTTACTTGGGAGGCTCGCGAACTGCCCGAATCGCAGGACACCGATCGAGGGACAAAGGCCTGATGGCGATGAGTAGTGGTTCCCTTGGCTCGAATGGATAGGGGGGCGAAGACTACGCGGAGGAGGCGGACGAGGATCTTGAACAATCAGCGTGGTAACAACAGCAAGGGGGCATGGCATCAAGGAAGGAAGGAAGTGACGACGAGAGACAGGCAGAGGACGTACACACATATATATATATATATATACATATATATATATACATATACATATAGATACGTATATAAGGTTCCGAGGCACGCCACCAAGCAGTTTCATGCCAGTGCAAGAACTGCGCGAGGCCGACTTGCTCGGCCGGCTGCTGGGCTTCTTCTTGGCATTTCCAGTGCGGGGTGTAAGGCGCGCAGGCGCGCCGCGAGGACTAATCTGAATCTTGCCTTGGACTTCGCTATGCTGGCTCCCCCAGCAGCCCTCGACAGTGGCGACCGCTCGCAGATCGCAGCCCCCCAGGGATGCGAGGTACAATCCTTATCTACGTAGGGCGTCACGATGCAGCCCTCGAAAGTGGCGACGGCCTTGCAGATCGCAGCCCCCAGGGATGGCGAGGTTTAAGCAGAGCCTGGCTACGGCGACGTTGCGTTGGCCCTTGCAGCAGCCTTCGAAAGTGGCGACTGTTTCGCAAATATCAGCCCCCCAGGGATGCCGATGCTAATCTGAGTCCGGATACGACGACACTGCGCTGGCCATTCCAGCAGCCGTTGCAAGTGGCGACAGCGTTGCAGATCGCAGCCCCCCAGGGATGGCGGCGAGGTGTAGTCTGAGTGTGGGAATGGCGTCACTGTGTTGGCCTCCCCAGCAGTCTTCGAAAGTGGCGACAGTTGGGCCGATCGCAGCCCCCCAGGGATGGCGAGGTCTAGTCTGAGTCCCCATATGGCGACAGTGTGTTGGCCTCCCCACCCAAATCGCAGCCCTCCAGGGAGGGCGAGGCCCAGTGTGAGTAGTGCGCGTATGGCGACACTGCGTTGACCCCCCCCAGCGGCTTCCGACAGTTGCAGCAGTTTCAAAGGTCGCAATTCAATTCCCAGGGTTGGCGAGATCAAATCTGAATCCGCCTATGG